CTACCATACAATATAGAGCCAAAGGGATAGGGATGTGAGCTGTGGTTTCACTGCTATAGGGAATTCTTATATGAAGAGTGCTCAGCTATCGATGCAGATAGATAACTTCTTGGTAATTTACAATTTTCTTGAGTTACCTAGAACACTGAAATGTTAAGTGACTTGTCTAGGGTCACACATTCAGTATGTTTCACAGTCAGGTCTTGGACTCAGGTCTTTCTGGACAGTTCTTTTCTGCCTCTCACTATATGTATCATAAATGACAGTAAGGATGTATATCTTTACATGTTGTAGATATAGTAAATGAAAACATGTTGTCTTACTAAATGATTCTGACACTTTCCGATTCTCAGGAGCTTCAATTTCTCCATAAGGCAAAATTCTATTATTGTTTCCATCACATGTCACATGGTAATGCTGTGAAGTGAAATATGTTGGAGATACCATAATGTACATTTCTCTAGCACTTTAAGATTTACAAAACACTTTATCCAGATCTACCTAGTTAGGTAAGTAGCATGAGCATTTTTGTCCCAATTTTATAACTGTAGAAGATGAAGCTCCAAGAAGTTCAGTGACTCTCAAGGTCAGTTAGATAGGAAGTATCAAAGCTGGGTTTCTAACACTTTTCCCATAAAGCACACTATCTCTCTCTGCAGAGTGCCTCTTGGAGATGCGACATGTATGTGTGTGTTGCCATGTATTATATATATTTTAAAAATCTCCTTTTAAATATACATCTTAATCTTGGTTGGTAGCTGAGGTACATAGCTTTTCAAATACTTTTATGTATCAATATAGTACAATGGGAAAGATACTAGCTCTGTAGTCAAAGGATCTGGGTTCAAACACCATTTCCCTACCTCTAGCTTACTATCTCTGTGACTGTGAGCAAGTCACTTACCTTCTCTGGGCCTCAGTTTCCTTACCTGAAAAATGAGGACATTAGACTAGATCAGGGGTGGGGAGCCTTTGGTCTCGAGGCCACATGTGGCCCTATAGGTCTTCACATTCAGCCCTTTGACTGAATCCAAACTTCACAGTACAAATCCCTTTAATAAAAGGATTTGTTCTGTAAAACTTGGACTCAGTCAAAAGGCCACACCCAAGGACCTAGAAGGCCACATGTGGCCTGGAGGCTGCAAGTTCCCTATCCCTGGACTTGACAGTCCCTAAAATCTTTCTCAGGTCTAGATCTATGATCTTACAATCCTAAGATAATGTGATATTAGCTGTGTTGGAAGTGGAAAAAAAATGTGCCTCCTGCACTAAATGTGTCTACTGCCAGTGGTTCAGAATGTCTGGGGAGGGAATACTAAATATTCTTGCCTTCAACATAGCCTTATTGAGTGAACCAGAAAGGGAAAGTCATCTAAGTAACTCCCTTGGGTGATTTATTTTTATTTTCATGGGCAAATTGCCTTTGCTTATTGTCATTTGTTTTTTAGCTATTTTTTGCTAAGGTGCTGAAAGATCTTCAGATGCTGGGTATTAAAAAAAATTTATGAATGTTATCTATTTATTTTCCCATTCATATTTTTATTTTAATCTTTCCAAACATAAAATTGTGGGAATGAGGCAAAAGGATCCCTATGACCCAATCAGACTGCAGCCTTTTCAACAGCCCCCAAAATAGCTATTCAGATGAAATATTTTCATTCTATTGAGTCTTGGTTTTAGACACAAAAACCCCATAAACTTTTTAACCCCATTTATTAGATTTCTTATTTACCTACCATATTGATATGGGGCTCATCTCTTCCTTCTGAATGTGATCACCCATATTTTTAAGTTTTCTCCATCAATCACCTGAGGCAGAATATGAGATATGGTTGGCCCAATGAGATAGGAGAAGGAATTCTATTTTCTTCTTGCTTTTTGGTAAAACCTGGGCCTCAAACAGAGTCACACAACCCATTGTACACAGAGAATGACTGACTGAGAGGAGGGTATTTTTGCTGAGAAGTCCCTGGGAGATATAAAAAACTTCAGCCTCCATGATGTAAACTTAATTCCATTTAAAGAAGAGAGGAAAACCTAAGAAAACAGCAGTTTCTATGTAGAATTCATGAATTATCCCTTCAAACTTTCCTTAGGAATGAAGGTTTGAGGAAAGGGACCCCATTGTACTTCTTAGCTGAGCAGCTGTAGGTCAGGGGCCTTCTAAATTTGTTTAAACAGTTTAAGATGATTAATCCATTTATTAAGTACCTACTGTGTACCAAGAACTGTGGTAGCCCTGGATATACAAATACAAAATTGAAACAATTTCTATTTACCACTCCCTGCCCAACCCACCACCCCACCATACTTAGTGACAGGAAGAAGAAAAACAGAAATTTCTTGACAAATAAATTAAAATGTGAATTTAACTGCAAGAACATTGAAAACAATATTAACCATGCAGGGTTTATTTTGTTAAAAGTTACTTGGGGCGGGGAGGGAAGACTTGTATTATTGTGAATTTCAGTAATTGTTGCATTGTCTCAGTCCTAATGAGGATCATTTAGGTCATTTCACCAGAACCTGTGTGCTGCTGATTCCCAAGGAAAAGTGACCCAGAGTGAAGAGCTGTGGTACTGCCCTATGTGCTTGTGAGCTTGTCGGTCTCCATAGTAGCTTCCATCCAGCACAGATGGACAAGAACTCAGGAGCTGCCTGAGTGCTTGCTGACTCCTTCAAAAAAGGCTTAATAACAATCAGAGCGGGTACATAAAACAATGCTTAAAGGTTTACAAAGTGCTAGAATGACTCATCTGATCTTTAACACAGCTCTGGGAAGGAGTACAAAGTTTTATTGTCCTCATTTTACAAATTAGGAAACTCAGCAAAAGGGTGGAACTGGCCCAAGCTCACACATTGAACTCTGATGATAAAGGATGGTGACATCAAATTTCTCTGAGCTTATTTTGTTTTGGGTGGGTGCAAATTCACTTCTCATGGGGAAGGCTATGCAGGCAGGCTTTCAAAATCAGAGTTCTCCCAGGGGCTTAAAAGTGGGCAAATTAAGATGTAGGCTGTTGATTCTGGGGCTCGGGATAGAACAGCTCCTGAATTCAGTTTGTTAACCTTCAAGTTAGCAGCGGCTTAAGTTTCATGGCATTCTGTGGGCAGTCTGTTGATGGTTTCAGGCTGGGTTGGAAGCCCTGTCTTTCTCCTGCTTCAGTGAAAGGTGGGACCAGGGTATGGATGGAGTTGGGAGGACTTGACTAGCAGTATTCCAGGAAAACCAGAGAAGGGATGAGGAAGGATTGGGACTGGCTGGCTGCAAGGGCTGGGTTCTCCAGTGTCTGGTCAGGAAGCAGAGGGGGCTAGCAGACCACGCGTCTCCGCGAAGCCCATTAATAATCACTGGGCTCTCGCTGGAGACAAGGTGGCCCCAGCTGCCCGTGCCTACTTGCTCCCACCTGGGCTGGTCCAGAGGTTGCTTGCAAAATCTCCAGGGCTTCTGTAGAGAGGAGCGGGCAATGGCGTGATATGGAAGGGCCCTAAACAGAGTGAGATTTTTGGTGCGCTCTGCTTCATTTCTAGCCTGAACTTATCTTCGCCTTTCTTCCTTCTCCCCTTTTGCACTATCCCTTTGGAAGAAAGACAAATCTTGTAATGCAAATGGACTATCTTTTTTACTCCTCCAGGAGGGCTCCAGTCAGAGTGTGTGGTCATAGGGGTGACAGCAACTGTAGATGATTTCTTTTTTCCAGGTGAAAATAATTATCCCACCTTTGTATAATGCCTTGAGATATTTAATTTCTCTATTTAGTTAGGAGAGGTGAAGGAAGCAAAGTAAAAAAAAAGAAGCCCAATAGTTAAACAACAACAACATCACAAAACACAACTTTTTTTTTTTAAGCCTAAAAGGTTTGACAGGTCAGATATTTCTTCCTTTAAAAATGCTCCGTCAAAGTGTTTCACACGAAGTCGAGGACTCACTAACAAGTATAAGAATACTCCTACAATAACCTCACAATCCACAGTGGTGACTTTTCCCCCCATCAAAGACAGGAATACCAACTAAGAGAGCCAGAAAGAATTAACCAAAAGCGGACTAGCGCTTTTTAGTTCTTGGAGTTATATTTCTGAACGCCAAGTTGTTTGACAGAACGGTTTTCCCAGGCTGAGGACCTTTTATTGGGCAGCAGAAATGATGACTGAGCTATCAAATGGAGTTCTTAGGGGCCTTTCCCCCACCCCCTCCTTGTGGGGATATTTGGGATTGTAAGAGGAATCAGCTTCAAAGTTTAAAAAAAAAAAGAAAAACTTAAAAGTTCTAGTCTGGACAGTGATCAATTTTACTATACATCAGTAAGATTTCTGTTCTTAACTCCAGGGGAAAGACTTCTAACGTTCTTAAAAATGCAATTAAGTAACGTTGGCCAGAAACATGTAATGCCACTTTCAAATGTGGAAAAAGTCAGGAGGAAAAGAAAGAGAGAGAAGGAAGAAGAGGAGGAGGGGAGAGGGAAAGATAAGAGGAGAAGAGGGAGAGAATAAAGGAAATAAGAGGGAGTAGGGGGGAAAGAAAGGAAAAGGGAGAGAGAAAAGGAGATTTAGAGGGAGAGAAAGAAAGAAAAGAAGAGGGAGACGGAAAACCAGCTTCAACATCACAGTTAGGAAGACGCCACAGTCGAGGCCTGTAGTGCTAAAGTCTTTTAAGCGCAGCCAATATTTCCTTGTGGACACTTGATTTTTACATCATCGAGGGTCTGTTTATACCGAGTTTAATCTAGAAACTGATCAGATCTAGGGCCACCTCAAGGCTGTCAGGGTCACAAGGAGAAGGGACTCAAGTCTTCCCTTGGGGAAGAAAAGGAAGGGGGATGCACTATCTGTAGTGCAGTGTGCCCCAAGGCAGAATTGTCAGATCTTTTGGCAGGGGGGTGGGGGTGGAGGTAGGGGTGGATAGGGATGAATAAGCACACTCGGCTTGCTTGTTAAATCTTTCTCTTTCTTCACGTGTCTCTCCTCTCCCTATCCCCACGGCCCTTCTTTTCACTCTGCAGGTTGCGACATGTGCGCTGACAACCGTAATGGGGAATGCCCCATGCACGGTCCCCTTCACTCCCTTCGCCGGCTGGTGGGTACCAGCAGCACGGCCGCCGCCGCGCCTCCGCCAGAGATGCCCGAGTGGCTTCGAGACCTGCCTCGGGAAGTGTGTCTGTGCACCAGCACCGTTCCAGGCCTGGCGTATGGTATCTGCGCTGCACAGAGGATCCAGCAGGGCACCTGGATCGGACCGTTTCAGGGAGTGCTTCTGCCCCCAGAGAAGGTGCAGGCGGGAACTGTCAGAAACACCCAGCATCTCTGGGAGGTAAGCTTAAGGCTCCTCTCTAACTTGACTGATTTGTTTCTTGTTGTCTAAAAGTTGTCTATAGTTAATTGAATGGAATTGATCTCAGTGGGGTCACTCCTACTGGGAAACAATACGCATGGAAAAGATGCAGAATAGGTTTCCCGAGTTGGCCATCGAAGACATGCGGTTCCCAGGCCTTCTGCTCTTCTCTCAAGAGACAGAGAATGTTAGAACTGGAAGGGGCCTTAGCAATCATCCATCCCCTCATTTGACAAATGAAGAAACTAAAGGGAGGTGACTTGCTCAAGATTTGGATCTTGAGAAAAGAGCCAAGACTAGATCTCAAGTCTTCTGACTCCTAGCTTTCATTGTAGGACAGAAAATAACTTAGTAAAACAGTAGGTCTAAGGCAGGGGTTACCAACAACCTTTATCTTTAGAAAATCCCTTGGCTTCCAGTGAACATTCTCATACCTCCTATTCATAATGAAAAGAAATTAATTCTAGAAATTTTTCATGCATATGCACATAAGAAACAAAATGGGATTTTTTTCATAAAGAAAATTATTTTGTATGTAACTTTTTTGAGTCAATAAAATGTTAAATGTTTATCAGAACACAGTAAAAGAAATAGACTGTTTCTTGTCAACCAAAAGTTTTATTCTTAAAATAGTTTTAAAAAGAGATACCTACGTATCGTATTTGGCATCCAGTTTGTTTCTTGCTTTGGATTTGATTGACCGTAAGATTGAGAGTTCTAATTCATGAAGATAAATTGTCATAAATGAAATTAAAGTCTTGTGAGCACATTTAATTAGAATAGGATCTATTTCTCCAAGGGCACACCTCAAATTTTGTAACTTCATTGATCAGAAATCATAGCTACTGTTTTTTTTTTCCTAGTGCGATGTGAAAAGTGCTTCATATTCAAACTTTATTCATTTGGTTTTGGTCAGTAGAAATGATTCCGTCAATTGCCTCTAATTTTGCAGATGCAATATAACACTACCACTCTTTCCCACTTCCTCCTTACTTTTTTTGTGCACTAACAATACTATGTTGGAATAATTTTATAGAATAATATGTTTACCAAAAATTCTTTTTCCCTTGACAAGCTTCTCATACCCCAGGTTGGGAATCCCTGGTATAGGAAGTAATGGTGAATGAGTTCCTGAAAATTGACATTAGATAACTTTTCTAATAAATATTTAATTGGTATATTCTATGTCCAATAATCACTTGCATTTATATAGATGCTTAATATTTGCAAAAACCTTCCTTCAGGTAGGTAGTTTGCAAATGTTAGTCCCCTTTTATAGATAAAGTGATAGAGGTTCTCAGAGATTAAATGACTTGCCAAAGCTTGACAGAAAGTCAAGAGAGAGAGGTAGTCTGATACAGCACCAGATTTGGAGTGAGAGGACTCAGTTCAAATCCTAGCTATACCACTGATTTTGCAGCAATCATATCTGAGCCTCAGTTTCCTTATCTGTAAAATGATGGTAGTTATTTAGACAAGATGAATTAGAAGGTCCCATCTAGGTCATCAAAATTTGTGATCCTATGAACTGTCAGAGTCAGTATTCAAATTTATATCTCCTTACCAGGGCTTTTACCATAATACAACCCCTTCCAGACCCTGGAAGACAGCAAAAGATGAGTAAGACCCAGTCCCCGCCCTCTATGAGTTTCCAATCTTGCATCACTAACTTTACTATTATTTATCATGTTTCCTGGGGTACTGTGAAATTTAAGAAAAGGAATAGATATTGTGTAATTTCAGATGTTGGATACACCTTTATAGGACAGAGGGATGGTGGGGTAATAGAAGTTATTCTAACTTTGCTGGCCAATTTGGCAGGTACCTGAAGGTTGAACCTCTTTGGTGTAACATGGAGCAGATTGCTGCAGTTGCTTACAGATTTAACTTGGCAGGGCCTGTCAAGATGACAGGTTACAGTACATGCTGTTTTATCTTAACCAAGTAGATTGTGGCCTAAATAGTCCATCTTATCCACAAAAACTTGCACCTGTGTGTTAAAAATGTTCTACCCAGAGTTAACAAGAGTAGCACATTTGAGCTAGCTGTCTCCATAGAGCTAGGTCCATGATAAAAGGCCTGAGTAAAGACCTTGCTATAAAAAGTGGGGTAGGTTCAGTTTGTGTCTGGACCATTAACAGCTGGGTCACATGTGCTGTAGCATCATGGGAAAAAATTCTTGGTTAAATTTCAACCTTAGACTATTGTTGGAGATAATTTTTTTAAACTTTTTTTTAACATTCACCATAGGTTTTAGAATTTGATAAAGCACAATTAAAAATAATATTTAGGTACCAAATATAGAGTATCCCAAAAGTCTTAGTGCTATTTCAATAGCTGAAAACTGCACTAAGAGTTTTGGGACACTTTGTATTATTATTACAAACAATATTAAAATTATTCCTTTCAAAGAATTCTTTGGAGAAAGAGGAAGAGAAGGAAGATAAATTGTGCTAGATAAGGAAACTATTGGGAAGTAAAAACTGACATTAAGTGTAAAATCATCCAATTATCTGGATTTGAAACATTTCCTTTTTGGTTCTGGTTCCTAATCTAATTGGTTGTGACCTCAAGTTTTCCTCAAAGATGATAAAAGCACTTTCCACTACCTTTAATACTTTTGTAGCATCACAAAAATGATGATACTATACAGTTACAGGCTTACCAAGAGTTTTCTAAGGTCTAGAAACGTTTGTAGTAGTAATAACGTAATTATACAAGTTTACCTCTTTCTGAAAATGGCAAACCTGAATAATATTATTTATTCCTTAGACTTAGGGCTTCTATTTCTAGTATGACACAGGGCAAAACTGTGAACATAAGAAAATCCCATATAGAAGAGACATTTACTGTTTTTATACAAGGCTGGAACAGCTAGTTTTCATGTTTCATGTAAAGATATCACACATTTAGAAATCTAATCAATAACATAGTTAGCAATATAAGTGTTTAATAAATATTTGTTGAATTCAAAAATTCACTTTACACAAAATAAGATTATTTTGTGTGCAGTAAAAAGTGTTTTAACAGAGAAGTTGAGGAACATTTCATCTATATCTTTAGTCTCACTAGGTACTAGATACTGGATTTGGAGAAGTAGTTCTACATGTGATATAGAAGTTGTATGTGTTTGTGATCTGATTGTAGGCCCATAGTCCTGAGTTCATAGATAATTTGGGAACTTATTTTTTTCTTCCATAATAGCAAAGTTGGTATAGTTGTTTGGGATAGTAAGAATATTAACATTTCAGATACTGCCATAAAGTTGTGGATATCTGTGAAATTTTAATGATGGTGACTTTACAAAGTGCAAAATATCTCCAGGAAGCAATGAAAACCTATAAAAAGGACTATACTACAAAGATAGGGTAGCATTCCGATGTATATTGTGAATAAGTAATAGAATACTGATAGACATTTATAACACTCATAGTAATGGCTGACTTAAAAAAGTTACTTCTGATTAATAGTAGCTGTAAAATTTTTCTTAATCATTTGAAATATGATATATATACATATATATATCATCCTAAGGCATTTTCTGTAAATTGCTGGGTAGCTAAATCAAATTATTTAATACCAGAAAAATCTCAGATTTTGGCTTTATTCTTCAAATTTTAGTGTTTTTTTCTTTCAGGCCTGTATTCTCTTACAAAATATACTTAAAATTATTTTAAAAAAATAATCAGTATGTATCTGTAGGCAAAAAAAAAAGAAAGTCTGACACTAAGTGCTTTATGACTCATGACACGATAACCTATTTTTGAACATATTCTTTTAAAATATCTTTCATCCTAGCAGGTCAACATTAATACACAATATTTATAAAATATTAACTTTATTTATGTATGTATCTTCTCATGATTGTCTCATTTATGTCATAAGTATAATTAATTTCTTTCTGCATATTTTTCAAAGTTGATTGCAGATGAGAAAATGTCTTTAAAGTAGTAGCTCAATATTTAAGTCCTGATGGATCTTCTGGGGGTAACTTATCTTTATTTCAGTACTGCAAATGGATTTCTAATATTTTTCTTACAGTGGTACCAAGTGGTTGATGGATTTTTGTTTCAATTTACAGTTCATTGTTTTCAATATGTTTGTATTTTATTATATAGAATGAAGGCTTATTGCAGAAACATTCAAATTCATATTGGGCACTTATGTTTTTAATTCTTTTGTTTTCCTGGTTGCAGTAAATATATGAACCATTTTCCTTGACATAAACAAATATTGAAGTCTGTTTGGTTAGTTTGCTAGAGAGCTCCTATCATGCATTTTATATTTTCTTTGCCGATTACCAATGCTCTTTGAATATATAGCCATTTAGAGTATATTAAATACCATTCCATTACCTCACAACATATTTTCACAACTATTTAAGATCTTGTGGCATTCTTAGTTGTTGGTTTTTTTTCAAAAGGCCAAGACAACTTCTTGTAGTTTAGAGAGATTAATTCTTCATAAAGCCAAAATATTAGTCACTGTGGTTTTCTTTTTCACTTTGACTCATTTCAATCAGACTCAAGGTTTGCTGGTATTTAAAAAAAATATTATAAACTCAGGCTGTTTAAAACAAAAATAGTCCAGGGTGAATTAAGTAAACATTCACTTTGGTAACATAGGCATTTATTCCAACAATACTTGAATGTATGATAACATTTCTGGACATTTGGAAGGAATAGGAACACTCTTTCCAATTTTTTTTTTCATAAAGAAAATAGAGACTTTCTCAGCAATTAGGTCTTATTGATGAGAGTGAGATAATTTTTCCCTAATGTGTTTTCTAATGAAGAAGTGGAAAGGGCACATTTGATTTCAACATATATGAAAACATTATCTCAATTATTAATGTGTCCTTTTCCCCTAGGGATAAATTAATCTGGTTGCACATGGTTTCCCCTTTCTGCTTAACATCAGAATTTAATAAGACCAGACTCTTGGAATGTACACAGGGCACACTTAAAATTCTATTGGAC